TTTTTTTTTTTTTTTTCAATAGTTGATAATGCAATGCAATATTTTCTGGGCTAGATATCTTGTTTGATTGAGATATGAATTTACTTAAATTTTCTCCATTTCATATTGAGTGTTGTTTTTGGAGACTTTATTTAATCCTTTCAAATTAAATGTTGTAGCATTTTTTGCCACAATTTACAACTTTGTCCCTACTTATTTTCGAGTCAAAACAAAATCATGGTAATTATATAATAATGAAAGAGAGGAAGAAATAATTGATCAGGGTTGTAGTAGTCGAATTTATCTTCTTTTTAGTTCATAAGAACAACTCTAATAGAAACTCGATACACAACAAATGGAGGACTGTATTTCGTAGCTGAATCATTAGGGATTGATGGTTTGATGCATATAAAAATGTGTGGCATTATGTAAATATACATAATTGCTGCTTATATGCCCATCTTGCATATACTGAAGTGGTTGATTTCTATGTTCCTTGAAAGCTAAGTTGCAAAACATACCAAGTGTGATGTATCCAAGGAAATAAATAGCTCGCTAAAGTTACCGCTATTTGAGAAATTATTTTTTTTGGCAGCGTGCCGCTATTTGTATTCATGGGCAATTTAGCCGCTAAATCTCGCTAAATCTTTGCTATAGCTACAGTGCCATAAACATTTTAGCCCGCTATTTAAAACCTTAGATGTATCCTTAGAAATAGGCCCAAGATTTTTTATTTTGAAAACTGTTTATAATGTTCCCCCCAAAATCAATTTTTAAGTAAACAAGTATATAACCCAGTCATATGGTGTCAAGTACGTGAATATGGATTAATTGCTTATATTGCCTATCCCCTCCCCCTATATATTAATACAGAACGCGCTGAGCCTACGTGGCTGCTTCTGGTGCTTCGGAATCCTATGTGACAAAATTACATGCTTTGTTATTAGGCTTGGGTAAATTTTAATTTAATTCCAAACCAAAAATAATTATGTTCGGATTACCATAAATATGTTGATTATTTATGGTTATGTTACATGTATTGATTGTATTTTAATATCATTCCTTATTATAACTATTGAATTGTATATATATTTTAAAAGTTCATAACTTTTGTATTTTTTATCAGTTTTACATATGTAATATATCAAATTAATCTTCTTTTGATGAGCTTCGATTTAACATCCATATTGTATGTATAAAAAAAATAATTTATATTTATCTTTATAACAATAATAAAATTACTTTTAATATCAATTAGAAAAATAAAATTATTTATCAACTAATATATTTATATTTCAAGTAGTTATATGATATAAGTTATAAAAACTAATAAAATATAACACATGTAAGTCATAAGTAACACATATCATTCCAAAATATATAGTAATATTTTTTTATTTTTTTTTGTAAAAAAAGTAAACTAAATTTAATATAGTTTTTTCATTAATTTTAAAATTTAAGAATAATTTTTTAACAAGCACCCGTGTAATACACGGGTGTTGTACTAGTTTGTTATATTTCTTGATATGAGCTCATGGAAAATGTCTTAGTTGAGGACCTAAATTTAGCATACTGGAAACCAATTCTATTGATGCAAGGTTCTGATTTTTCAAATAAGGCTATTAATATTGTCAGTGCTGTTGTGTCTAGTAATTTTTTTAGGGTGGGTTATTTTTTTAAAATAATATAAAAATCTGTGGCAAAAAATAAAAAAAAAAATAATTGTGGAAAAAAATCAAACGGACGGATTCTGAAAATCCGTGTTCCTAATTAAAATTTTTAACCGAAACACGGATTCTCAGAATCCG